TTTAGAGAAGAAAATATTTTGGTCGCTACCCGGAATCGAACCCGGGACCTTTAAATGAGAGGCCAACACCTTAACCTCTAGGCCACGAGAGCCCCCCGATAGATGTTTGATAGGAAAGAAGGAGCAAACCACACCAGAGCGCGCGCCCGCCCACCACTCACAAACAGGGAAGGCAGGGCGTGGATTAGTAAAGGGTGGGTGAGTTGAAATAGGATCGCTTGACTTGCGGTTTGTTTCATAAGACCGACAGAAATAGACGTCGTACAAAAAAGAACCGAAGCGCAAAAGCATGACGAACGGACCTACGGATGGCTTGACTGGCAAACGGGCGGTAAGACAAAAATGGGAAACGTTGTTGAGTCACAGTTTATCACGGGTAAGAACGACAGCAGACTCCAACTGAGGAAAACGGTAACATCCCCCCCCCCCAAAAAAAAATGTTAAAATAAAGTTATAAAATAAATAAAAAAGAAAAAAAGAAAAGAAAATATAAGAAAAGAAAAGAAAAGAAAAGAAATAAATAAACGATGCAGGCTACAAGGGAGAACTCACGAAAGATCAATCCGCTTTTCCACGAGTGAGTCTGAGTTTGAGTATAGACACAACAACGGTCATTTAGCGCATGGAAAAAAGTCAAATAGATAGACAGAAACAAGAGGGGAAAAAAGGAGAAGAATCAACAAAAAAGCATCCCCCAACCACCCCCCTTCTTCGGGAGAATGAGATTGAGGTTAACAGACGGACAAGATAAGACGGCCAGAAAGCTGCTGAAGAATGCCTCGAGACTTGTTCAGAAAGAAAGAGAGACAAGGACACATAAACAAAGAGAGCACAGGAAGCAGACACCGGCCTTCACTATGCACTGTGTAGATCTTCTCCGCAAGGAGGAATTAGGGCCGACGACGAACTGGCAGCACATGTAAATCTCACATCACAGACAAGCCCGCCCTTTATGCTCTATGTATAAACGTTAGTTTGTTTAAGTGAAAAGACGCAAACTGACAGAACAAAATCATGGTCGGTACTGGGAAAAGTCAAGGTAGACAAAAAGAAAGTGCAGCCGGAAATAAAGAAATTTAAAGACCTACAAGTGGCACCTTCCGGCCATCCGCCTGCTTTTCTCTAGAAATCACAAGCGAGTACACTTGGGAAAAAGGACAGTCATGGTATTTTAGTCAAGACTCTCCTCAGACCCCCA